TTTTATCTTCACAAGCTTTTACTACAGGGTCTCGGATGGCTGCTTCTGCATGCGACTGTGGGAGACTAGGGCAGGGAAACAGCATATATCTTAAGTTCACATCTTACAAAAGGATTTCATATATTAATGTGGCTCCTGGGTAGATGCTCTTCCTCTCTCTTAAGACATATCTACACTAGCATGATGATGTGGTGTTTAAGCTAAAAGGAAAAGCCTTATCAAAGCTTGCACCTTCTCCCAATTTAAGCGTATGAGCAAGTCCACAGGTGTGCGCGTGTGATACCGACAAAATAGACAAGAAATTACAACATAAATGTTTCATATCTGTGCTGTCAGTCTTTACTGATTTTCGCTCTGGAATAACAACCTCAAAAAAAGCAGTTTGTTATGCTCCTCAAATCAATATGAAAATTTTACCAATGTCACGCTCAGCAAGCATGCAACACCATTATGAGTATGATCCAGATTCACTGATATTATATTACAGCCTTGACAAACATCTGATGTTCTGTATATGCCGACTACAGACAGATTCAGCTAAAACTAATAACACCAAAATTAACTGCAGAAGATGAAGCACCTGCTTTACTGAAACAATACTGAGTCTTGCAACAGTTTAGCTCACTGGTTTGACTTTATTTTCAGATCCTATCTGATGAATACACTTTAGATTTGTCCAGAACAGCTGTTTGTCCACATCTTTTTCTTCTCCTTTCCTCTTGGGCTGTTTCCAGCCTCACCTAAAACATCAAATCTGTCAGCTAAGTATACCTGAGGTCATCCAATAAGGGCTAGAAATACCCCAGCACTACAAAGGATATGCTTATGTTGCAAGAAACATTACTAGGTTTTACAAGTTGTAATGACTTAGAATCTACAGTATATTTACACTGTTTAAACTATAATGAATGGTACTGTATCACACTGTCAAGAACAAGTTTATATATTGTGTTCAAATGTAACCTTTGGGAGATTGACCTAGCCCTCATAAATATTATCATCTCAGCATTTGTATTAAATGCTTTACATTAAACAATAAAAAGCCACCCAACCTGGAATCAAGCTGCTGCCTTGTAAAGCTCTAAACTGTTAGTTCTCAAATGTAAAATAATGTGCTGTGATCTCTTCTATTCATGCCAGCCTACATTGAAAGATGTTCGGGAACAGATGCTACGAGTTGCATTTTTCTAAAATGAACAAGGCATCATGAAAAATGGTAAATATGTTCTGAGTTAACAGCATGTGTGTTTTCAAGCCCCAGGCTGTTCTTCACCATATGTCTTGCTCACAATCATCCTAGAATGTTTTCATAACTGGACCAAAGGCAGAGGACAAAATAAAAAAAAAATGGCCAAAATGATGATGATCCAGGCTGAAAACCTCTGGAGGTATCAGTGCAATATCCTTACTAATAACTATACCTAGAACCAAAATGGTACATACTTGTCAGAATCACAATTGATTCAATTCACACATCCAACTATATCTCTAAAATATAACGAAAAACAACAAGAAAACAAAAAAAAGAATCTAAATTACGTATGATTTCCACTTTCCCAGTACAAAAACACATAGTACTGTATGAGTCAACTTGTTCACAGTCACAGCACCTCCAGCCACTCACTCCTTTCAAGGTTACTAGGGACGCCAGCACTGGAAAGGATTCATCCAAGCTATGCAAAAGTATGAGGCTTGTATCAAACCAACATCTGCAAGCACATCAAGAACCATCCACATTTGCTCGACCAGTCCTTCCATTACTGCTGAGTGACTTTGTAAGAGATATGATAGATCCTAATGCAATGCAATCTTGATAGTGTGAATGTTAAGATATACAAGAGCACATCAGATACAGCCCAGTGATTAATGGTTAGGACGACAACACAGACAGCTGCCTTAGGTTTGTAATGTTCTATTGCATGCTGACAGATAAACAACAGCACATTAACTACTATGAAATATCAATTTCGGCATGTATTTGAGTAAATGTGATATTTCATATGCCAATTACACTGTCAAACACTAACATCCAATTAATGAATTGTCCAGCAGAAAAAAACCCACATGGCTTCACTGTGTTGTTTGCCCCCAGTTATTTGGATTATTACAGGACTATCAGTATCATAGGTATATTTCAGGTTAGGGGTATGGTGGGAAAATAGATGGCCATGGAAATAACACACAAAACATTGTTGTTACCATTAATATAATTTAAATAAAGACAGTAAAAGTCAGCATCCACAAGATTATGTTAATGATCCTTAAAAAAAGGGTAGGTATTCAGGGTAACCTGGTAGCCTAAGAGTTTAAGACACTGACCAGGTACTCACAAAATCCCCTGGCCAGGCTCCTCTCTCCCCTCATTTCCTGTCAGCTCTCTATTCTATGCTATCTAAGTGAGGCTAAACATGCACCACAAAAATTTGAGTATAGGGAAAAATAGCGGACGAAGATAAGGATAAAAATAATAAGAGTGTTTCACAACAAGTCTCATGAGACCAGCCAGTGAGGTTAGGACAGATGTGCAACACGTTTGGAAACCTCTGTTGTGACTGTGCTCTAAGGTCACAGTTCAGACCTTAACATGCCACT